TTAATCATGGGAGTTGACTGATTGAATACTCTTCTCTAGTATCTATGAAAACAAGGAGAACAACTTCTTATACAGTGACTGTTACTGGCTATGTGCAGAGTCAGAATCACTGGGTCGAGTTATTTTATGAACTTCTCGAATGGGACTGTGGGATATGATTGTTGTTGCTGTTCATTAGTTCAGAAGAAAGGCAAGTAGATAAATTGCTAAAATCTACTGTTCGCCTCCCAATCTAGTTCATAAATCTTCAGTGTAGGCAGCTATTTTTGTACAGGCAGAAAATGTAGTTAACGCTCTGTTTCAGGTCAGAAATTGTTCTTGAAAATTTTATGGAAGATGAGTTTGCATGGATTGAAAACTGTTGGGTCATCTCTTCTCAGATTCACAGGATCAAAATGCAAAAATGCATATATTGATATGCAAGGCAAAGACAGAGTAAAAATTAACACTTAATTCATGATCTATTAGAGTAAGGCTGGCCAAAGGAATTAGTAGTCAATAGAGAGTCCATTTTTGTATGATCATGATTCTGTTACCATGCAAGGTTCTTTCTCAGATCAATAAATTACCTTTTTATAGAGCCTGATGTTCAAGATATAAGAGAGCAGGACTACATTACTAAAAATGAGCACTAAAAATTAGTAAAGCAGGTGGTTTTGTATCTTAAATAATTTTTGCCCTTTTTTAGAAATATACAATAGTTAATTCCAGTCATCAAAATAATTGTATCTCTCCAATTTAGAGATTTTGTGTTAGGATGTTGTCATGGACCATGTCAAAGGCTTACAAAAGTCCAGATAGTTGACATCTGTAACTCTTCCCTTCCCCACTGATGTAGTCACTCTATTATAGAAGGTCGCTCAATTGGTTAGGCAAGATTTGTTCCTTGTGAATCCTTGGTTACTTGAGTTGTTTTGTTTGGAAAAATCAGCAGCTCAGCCTGCAGAAGAGCCACTTCAGAGAACTAAATCCTGGTTGTCTTGTGGAGGGTAGAGAAAGCAAGTTCTCAGAGTAAGCAGAAGTTTACTTGCCTCTATATCCTTGTGCAATCAGCAGCCCGGAGATATTCACTTACGTCTGTAGGTTTAACATGTAGACACAAGGTTTCTCTATTTTTCTCTCTGGTTATATATGGGTAATATCACACATGGTTATTACAACACACTTTGAGCTATCAAAGTTAAAACACAAGTAAGAGGAAATGCTTTCAAATTCATAAGTTTCATTAAATTATTCTGTTCTACATTCAATGGCTTCCTCAAAATAATTATTGCATGCAATACATACAGATTACAGTGTGATTTATATCTATGATTACTTTCATATAGTCCCCAAATGTAGACTTTAGTCTAAAGAATGCATATATTATCTGTTGCTGGAAATATACACGTCATAATCCTGGCTTCACTTAAGTTCAAAGCAATTTTTCTGTTGATATTGGCAAGACAGGTATCATTTTGCCAGTAGATTTTAGCATTTTGGGTATAGTAGGCTCATCCATTGATTATACTCTTAGTGTATGACTATTCAATGACATTTTCCTCAACTAATTTAGGACTCTGTGGTGCATTTCTAGTGGGCACCAGCTTCATCTCATAAGTAGCCTTAAAGTTCATGGAATGAGTTACTGTCCCTTGCTTCAAAATCCTTAATGTAAGGAAACAAGAACAAGCAGGCTTTCCACTGTTGCTCGAAAAACTTGACAGAGAGCTTGATTTTGAAGTTACTGATGATCCAAACCAACTATTTCCTAGAGTGTATATAGTAAAACACCTGTCCCTAAGTTAGCCAAATATGTAAACACCCTCAGTAACCTTCCCTTCAGATTTTCTGAGATGTAGATAGTTGTTTTCCTAAAGTAACTTTTCTGAATGAAACAGCTGTGTGTGTGGCCATGCAATAGTTTTAAACATGACTCTGAAAAGCACATATATTGCAACTTGCTCTATCAAGTTCTAAGGGTCCTGTCTTTCTCCAGGGAAGTGTGAAACAAGTCATTCTTTCCCCTTCACTCTCTCATCACCAATACTCCTTTGAAAATACCACTGTCCTGATCTAAGCTCAAAGCCTCTACTGATGGATGTATTTTTGAGCCTTCAAGTTTTGAAGTACATCTTCAGGTCAATCCCTATCATTCATATTTTGAAATCTCTCAGAGACTTGGCCTTAAATATCCATCCACACAACTAAATCTCTTGCTCCAGCCTTAGTTATTTTTCAGATTGAGTAGTTCTTACCTTTGCTGGGTCAGAGCTGGCCAGCTGCACTCACATTGTACAATTCCAGACACAGCAAGTATCCCATTCCTGCACACTCCCTCTTTACCCTTCCCATGTCCTTGCTGTTTCTCAGTACTCCATATAGCAAACATGACTTTTTTTCCCCCATTGGCATATAAAGCCGTTTATATTTATCTTAGATTTGTCCTTTGACTCTACTGATTGGCCTTTTGTCTCTACTGCTTATCAAATGTTCATTCATATTTGTCACATCCAGCCCAGCTAACACTGGACTGGGAGTTGATTCATTTTAAGCATTGAGAATGTTGAATACCTTAATCTTCCAGTTCTGCCTCAAAAGTCATGCCCCTCATTTCCTCTGTTAGACAACATCATATGTGCATCCAACATTAATTCTAGCTAGTGTGTGTTATACATGCACACATCTCCTGCCTGATCCCTACTTTTATCCCTTGACACCTCAACAACACATATAATACCAACAAAAAATATAGTATTCATTCCTCACAGGTTATGTATGCAAGTGTGCATGCAGGCATGTATTTACATACAGAAGGAAACATTTAGTATTTCTCAGCAGATAGAGTTCAACCTGTAGGTGAGAGAGATGATTATAATGATGAGATTCTTATGCTGATGATTAAGTTTTACGATTAAAGCACTGCCAGACCTCTCACTGTCTGTCTAGCTCTCGTGTGGTGTCTGGAAGAGAGCACGTTCCTAACTCAGAAGGTTTTTGTGTGGGTAAGTTGTTAGTACAGGTTCAGATACTGCAGAGATGAAGGTCACAGTAATAAGTAATAAAGAGTCATTTTAAATAAGAGCATTATCCTTCCCTCAAAAGGTACTTTGGGTTCCTACACATGGAATACAAATAGAAAGGATCTGTGTAACATGGTTAAACTCAGAAAGTATTAGTTACCAATTATCCCTGATAATGACTACACTGGCTTTCTGAATGGAGTCGATTTTCAGGAGAGCATTAGCCTTTCTCTCATATAACTTCACCTTGGTTTTTGTTCTGCTGCTTTTGGTGATCTGTTGAGAGGCATCCTTCTTTCAGACTAAGGGACACTTTCTGTGTAATGACATAAGTATGATGATACCAACAGCTTGTAACTTATTCCACATGAAGATGCTGTGAGGGGAGAGGTCAAGGGGCATCTGCTGCATGCTGGGTGGAGTGTGAGAGAAGAGGGGCCAGAGGGAGAGCAAGCACATGTACCCATTATTGCCAGTGAGTAGAGGAAAGGCCACAGCCTTAGAAAGCAGGAACTAGAGAGCTGGAAAGCCTTTTCTATTCTACAAGTAAGCATCTCAAGTGATTTTACCCCTTGCTGAAACCTATTTATATTTTTTATGTTTTTCCCAGGCTGGAAAAGCTCCTGTTCCTGATCCTTTTTACAGCAGGCTGTTATGCAAAGAGGTGCAGACTGAATGGTTGTGCACTTACATGTATATTCTATTTTTCTCTCTGCTGTAACCTGTAGCCTCAGCCCACTCAGCTGTGTTATGGACTGGCTTCATCTCTCTGTAGAACAGTGGTTTGTGGGGTATCTTTCAGGGCCTATAAACAGAAATAAAACTACTGCTGACTTTTAAATTGGCTTTGTGGATGACCTTATTTAGAGAATCAAAATTCCCAGTAGAATGCAGATCTCAGACCAGATGCTGTAAGGTGAATTAACATACAAAGGTGGACTGAAACTGCATGGAGGACAGAAGTACTGCAGTTCAGGGTTCACATTGTGGCTTGGAAAGAAGTGTTTTATTATTTGTGTGTAAATGTTTTCTTACTATTCAGTGTTAAATACTCCACATTTAATATCTGAAAAAAATAACATTAAATGAAATAATGGTGGTAAGTTGATAGATAGTCTCTGCTTTGTCTTCTGCTTTTTAATACAGGAACTTATTTGGAAATCCAGGTGCATAAACACTTCTGCCTGTGCAGAGGGGTGGGTGTGTTTGTATGTATATATATACACACATACACACACACATATATGTATACATACACACACACACACCCCCCTCTGCACAGGCAGAAGTGTTTATGTACCTGGATTTCCAAATAAGTTCCTGTATTTATTACACATATTTATTCAGCTGTATACATACACATATACTTGCTGTTGCAAAGAGAGCAACAAAGACAGTGTGGCCTTGAGGGGAAGCTGCATGAGGAGCAGCTCAGGTCACTTGGTCTGTTCAGCCTGGAGAAGGGGATACTGAGGGGAGACCCCACTGCAGTTACAAGTTCCTTGTGAGGGGAAGCAGAGGGGCAGGCACTGATCTCTTCTGTCTGGTGTCCAGTGACAGAATGTGAGGGAATGGCCTGAAGCTGTGTCAGGGGAGAGTTAGGTTGGGTATTAGTAAGAGGTTCTTCTCCCAGAGGATGGTTTGGCACTGGAATGGGCTCCCCAGGGAAGAGGTCGCAGGAACCAAGCCTGACAGAGCTCAAATGTTAGTACAAAACCCTCAGGCACATGGTGTGACTTTTGGGGATGGTTCTGTGCAGGGCCAAGAGTTGGACTTGATGGTCCTTGTGGGTCCTATCTGACTATGCTTATTCTATTGTTCTGTTTAATTTATGGTCTGTCTACATAGATATGTGTAGATGTTTAAACACATGATGCCTGTATCTATATTTTTACTACTTTGTTAAGACACACACATATTTGAAAATTATGGCCAAAAATTATTTCCTTGTCTCTAGTGTCTACACATTTAAATAACTTCTTTTTTTGATTAATTTAGCAGCAGCAACAGAAGAACCTGAGGTGATTCCAGATCCTGCTAAACAAACAGATCGAGTGGTGAAAATAGCAGGAATAAGTGCTGGAATTCTGGTATTCATCCTACTTCTCCTTGTTGTCATATTGATCGTGAAAAAAAGGTAAGAAAATTATCTGTGCTGATTGATCTTTTTTTTTTTCCCCTCCCTATCAAACAATTTAAGGAGGATGTTTTTTACAGGTCTTTAGGAAAAAAAAAAAAGTTTTGGTACTGGTAGGTCCTTTTGGTCAATTTTTGAATTAGTTTCTTGTGGGTTTTTTTGGTTTTGCTGTGGATGTCTTTAAGGATAGAATTTCTTTATATAATAAAGAGTCTATAACTATAACTCTGACAACTATACATTTTCTCGTATTTACTTCCAAGGATTTTTAAGTTGGAGATAGAAGAATGTACAGATTGTTAAAGTGGGTGGAATTGAAATTCATGTTGTCTTTTTTATTTTTTAAAGGAAAGAAAAAATAATAACTTATTAAACTTTTCATGTTTTAACCACTTAATGAATATTATTTTCTCTATGTGGCTCTAATTAGTTATTTGTATGTTATTACCCAACTTGCAAAATAATGTAATTTTATACCTCTATTTATGCTCTTGTAAACCTCCAGTTTTTTCTTAAAAGTCATAGTGCATCACTGTAAAATTATCTAGTGAGTCCTTAGTGCATGAAATTGTTTAAAAGTGTATTAATTTGAGTGAATTTAAATTTTTTTCAGTGCTTTCTTAGACAGTAAGCAATATCGCCATCTTCTGGCATTGTTCAATGCTATCCCTGCATCCCAATCCTCCTACCTTAGCAACTTGCGCTATCGTACTGCTGGGTCAGTGTTTCAACGCCTAGCCTTCCCAGTAGTTGCAACTCTTTTAACCTGGCATAGAAGTCCATACTATGTCCCTACAATTCTGTAGTTATAGTGTAGAAACTAATTCCTCTCTCTCTGTGCACCCCCTCCCTGGTGGTTCCCCTTCACGTGGCACAAGCTGATTTCTCTTGGATAGAACGAGCCCTTTGCCTTCCCATGGTGTGTGCGTTGCATTCCCTTGCCTTTTGCAGAAGTTATAATAAAAAGTATTTTTTGTGATTGTTGCGTATATATTCCTCTGAAATGCAGCTTGCTATTATTTTTATCGATTAAGATCATTCTATATGTTATCATTGCTGGTTTGCATTAGATTTTTTTAATTTATTGCCTTTTTACAATTATTCCTGGAGATATATAACTTGGAGAAGAAACGTCTGCATTAGAAACATTAGGTATGCTTATAGTGTTCTGTGTTAGTTAGCTACATATGTGATTTTTCCCAAAAGTGCTTTTACTTTTCTCTGTTGTTTACCTCTGTGGCTGAGAATTTACACATATGCAAAAGGTCCAACTCATCATGTACAAAAAAGACATACAGTCAGCCAGTTGTCTTTATTACACGACTTTTGAAAAACAAAAGTGAAGTTGTTTTTCAGCTTTTAGGAGGAAATCTCTATATTGTAGCTTTGTAGCATGGTATGTGCTGGGAAACATCATCTTAGTGAGTGTTACAGTAGTCCCCTTACGTTTAATAGAAAATTCCCTGTGTGTTCACGTGTGTTTGTGTGTGAGAGAGGGACTGTCTAATGCTACAGAGTGTCAGTCACTTCCAGATGTGATTGACTAGTTTTGCAAATAACAAACAAATCCATGTGTACATTTTTCCTATCGTTTTTGCCTCTTCCATTCTGAGTCCTATTAGGCTCCAATTTTCACTACTGAATTGTTTGACCAAAGTTGGTTAATTATATCTGTGAAGTGATATTTTTAAGTTTCCCTTTTCCCCCATTTCCCTCCTCAGAACCTGTGAAGGCAGTATCCTTTTAGAAATTTTCATCATCTTATAGCACATAATATTTCTAAACTCCTGTACTATTTTGTATTCTAAATAGGTGAGAAATTAACTTGCTTAATGAATCTTTAACGTTTGGCAATTTTCCATCATGATAGTTTAATTGGTTGTCTGTTGCATATGTTGTAGGTTTGCCATTCTCCTCCACCTCTGCCTTTAGTGAAAATGGGCACTTTTTTTATACCAGCTTTAGTCAAGGTCTCTTAAAAAAACATAGAAAAACTGTGTTCCTGAGTTAAATCAGTCCATCTAGTGAATCAGGGCAATTCATACAATGAAGGCAGAAACAGCTGGAAAAACTCTGACACCTTCACACATACAAAAACACACTTCACTTAGTTGTGGTGGGACTAAAAACCGATCCGTCTGAATCATCCTCTGTAGTGTACCTATTCAGTGATCCATTATGTAGTATCCCTTTTGGTACCCGAATTGACCACAGCTTATTAGATGGAAAAGTCAATAAAACAATGGTTTCTGCATTTTTATTAGTTTATTAAGTCGTATCCACAGCCACCAGTATCTCAAATCACTGATTAAATGCAGCATTACATTTTATTGAAAAACAGAGTACTAAGCAGTTTTGTTTATTAGCTTGAGATATTTTAGGCTTCGCCTGATCATTTTGTACAAATTGGTTTGAAGTTTTCCTGAATGAAGCTCTTAACAGCTTTTAAAGACTTCTACTGGAGTAATCAAACCAGCTAAGAAAAGGGATACTGCATCTTTAACAAGCAATGCCATTTTTATTTTCGAAATCATTGTTGGACTATTTCCAAATGTCCTTCATTTCCTTCCATTTGTTTACCTTCCATGTTTTTAATGCTTAGCATGACTACATCAGCATTTCCAATTGTAAGATTTTCAAATAGAAAGCATATGTTTGCATTCAGGAAATGTGTGGTGGATATGCCAGTACACACATATCTGCTGGAAATGTGCAGGTTTCTTTAAAATGTGTGTACTCATATAGCTACGCATAGTACGCATACAAACATATACGTATACAACTGTGTACTGATAAATATGTTAAAGTGAATGACAAGAAATTGTTTTCTGATTAAATGTATTTATTAATGAAACCCTATTTTTTGTGACTGAAAAGTAAAAAGCATATCTGCTGCACAAGATTTGTACACAGCTGTTCATTTGTCATGACATCTAGGCGGTAATCATTATATTATGCTGAACTGCATGTTGAAATTACACAATCCATTTAATTTTCAAAATTTTTGGCAATAAGTGAAATCTCAGCATGTAATTTTCTCAAGTGATCTTTCTAAAAAACAAATCATTTTTATACGCTAGGGTTTTTTTAATTTTGGTTTTGTTTTGTTTTTAATTGCATGGCAAAGCAAGGCTAGTTTGTGCATGAGCAAGTTGAAATGCTAACCAAAGAAACATGAATTTTTTCAACTTTTTTTTTTTTAAACGCACATTTCTCTGCTTTATTGGATGTGACAGAGTCACGCTTTTCATTCACCATTGCTTCTCTTTTTCCACTGTCTGTGATTTGCTTGCCAGGAGGAGCTACTATTCTTACTCCTACTATCTGTAAGTAGAATATGGGTGACTTACTATTTTATGTGTTTTAAAGATGCAGTATCCCTTTTTAAAAAAGAAAAACAGTCTCTATAATTTTTCCAAAGTTTCATTGATAGTTACCTTTCCTTGTTCTCAGGCTTGAAAAATTGTTTGTATCATTGTTCATGTTATTCTTACCCTGTTGTTTCTTTTTTTTAAAGGGATATTGTATTTCTAACTGTATATTGAGACTTAGCTTTTTGCTACAGTTTTTTCCATAACTATCATTTTAATTTATTATAATTTAATTTGCATTATGATTCACAGCAACACATTACACTAAGGAAAAAAGATCTTTTCCCATTTCCTAGTTAGTGAATTGTGCCAGTAAATTACCACCTGTATGTTCTTAGAGTATCAGTTCAAGAGGGATCTTGTGTACCATTTTCCTATGCAGGTTGTAGGCAGATGCCAAATGTTTATAAATAGTTTATGGCCTCTCCTGAGTTTGAGGTACTTTGCATACACATTCTTAAGTTGGATCTTATTTTATGGCATTGGTTTGTATAGAAGTTCTGCTTCATTGAAGCAAAACTGGCTTTTTTGATACTTGCTGACCAAATGAATTTTTGTGAGGACTCTTGACAAATTTGTCTGTGATTGAGCAAGCAGTTACACACATCCTTCATTTTAAATAAATGCATAAAGTGCTTGACTTCAGAGGAGTTCTAAGGATGCACTCGATTGCTTTGATGAACTGGTGGTGTCTGATAATAATGCTCTTCCACATTTTTAAGCAGAATTAGTTTGCTTCTTTAAACAAACTTAAAAATATATTTTTTAAAAAGGCTGGTTTAGCTAACTGCCATTCTCTGATTTATTATGACTAATTATAACTTCCTTGTTAAATAGCAATTGCTTCTACTCAAGATAATTAACCACACAGTTTCATCCAATGATAGAGCACCTTTCCCCTCCAACCACTGTAACGCCCACCTGAGCAGATTCATCCAACTGAATTCTTTAGCAGATAATGAGAATTATTTACGCTTTCTGTCAGCCTCAAGTTCTTTAACCTAATGATTCGCTTAACTATCATGAAGCATAGATTGCATGTGCCTATAGCTGAGTGAGGGAAGGAAAAAAAAAAAAGGAAAGGAAAGGAAAAAGAAGTTGTCAAACCCCAAGGGAGCCCGGAGCTGTTGAACAATAAAGCTGTCCTCCCATTTCCCAGCAGCTTTGGGTTGCAGTGCTACAACACAATAGGCCTTTTTAGGCGTTGAAGCAGAGCATAAGAATTAGAAAGTAGCTACTGTAATAAAGTAATAACGTGAAAGCCTTAATTGCTGTTGACTTATTTAGCATGGCTAGCAGGTTTCGTTACAAAGTGATGCTTCAAAGAAAAGCTTAATATCATCGAGAGATGAGATGTAATAGTCTTTTTGTTCTGTTTCTGAGGTGACGTTACAAAAAGGTGATCTTCAGTGTATAGAGACTGTTTGAAAGGCTTTGAAACTTAAAAAACTACTTTGAACTAGAAATGCTAGTTTTGTGAAGCCTTTGATAGTATTGGGAACCAGTTAGAAAGCTCAAGCAGTTTCACTCTTGGAAGTTCTTATGGTCTTCATTTATTCAACCAAAGCATCACTTAAACTGGCTTCTCTTAAGTTGAAAGGAATGTGTGGAGTAAATGTATAAAATAAAGCATTGTAGGGGAGACATCCAACAGATTTTTTTTATTTTTCGTGTAACAACTGATACAGAACCCCATCAAACAATAGTTTGATTTAAAAAAAGATAAGTTTAGAGACCACCTTTGAGATTTTTTTGTAGTAAGAATGTTACTGAGTAGTAGTTTTCCAACTATTCCATCTGTAGATGGAGCAAAAGGGGGGGAATCTGACAAAATAAGGACATGAGTGTGATTGGTGGAAGAATCTACTATTCATAGGAGGGCTTTGTCCATCCATATTCTACACTGTGGTACCTCATCATGAACCAAGACTGTTAACTTAAGAAACAGCCCTGTAACATTTTCTTAATTATGCATTAAATACTTCTTGCCCTACAGAACAGTGTAGGTCCTTTCTGGTGAACTCTCCCAGGATTCAACAAGTACATGGATGGATAATTTTCACAAAATCCAAGAGTAGTTTCTGTTGGAAGGAACCCTAAAGATCATGTAGTTCCAAACCCCCTGCTGTGGGCAGGGACACCTTCTATCAGATCAAATTTCTCAGAGCCCCATCCCACCTGGCCTTGATCACATCCAGAGAGGGGAGGTCCACAGCCTCTCTGGGCAACTGCTGTCAATGTCCCACCTCCTTGATAGTAAAGAATTTCTTCCTAACATCTAATATTATAATATGTAATAAGTATCTAATATTATCCTTGTCTGCTCTTAAAATATGCATGAAATATTTAGAGTTGGCCATCCTTTTAGTAAAGAGAAATGTAAGACAAATACTGTCTGAACAATTACCAGAGCATTTGATGGTATTCTATGCAGAAAAAGCTTATGAAGATAAGCTGTGTTTTAAACATACATTTTCAAGAACTCAGTATATACAGTGATGATTGTGTCTCTTCCATCTGGTGTCAGATTTATCCATCTAAGCAGGTTGGCTATATAATGTATTATAGTCATGGCTTCAGCTGAAACCAGGGAGATTTCAGAACACTTTGATGCCTGTTACAGGTTTCTGCAGAACCAAGGCCCACCTCTTGCTGCTCTGCATACTTCTTGCTACTTGAGATATATGTTTGAAGTTATAATTAAAATATATTATCTGCTTCCATCTGACTCCTGGAGACAATGAAAATCCCTTCCACTTCTTTCTCAAAAGGGAAGAATTGAGCGATATTTCTGAAGTGTGCACTTTAGGGGCATTGGCTGTTAATTTGAGGGGTTTAGTTGTACAGATTAGGTTGGTCTTTAACTGTGATGCAGTCAGAGTGTAAGACTGTTAATGTCAAATTGCAATGTTCCCAAACTGCATGAAAGGGTAGAATGATAAGGGTGGTTTTGTTTTTCAAAGAGCCAAAGTTAAGTACCAGGACCATAGTGTGGTATCCTCTCGTATCTTGTATATATTGATACGTATATATTGAATGGGCAATACAACCTTTTACATAAAATGTAATATAAATATTTAATATAAATATATATTGAATGATTATGCTTCTTTTATTACTTCATAGGTTTCTTGACTAACAAAGTAATTTAGAAGGTTACATGACTCTTTTTCCCAACAACGCAAACAAGGGGAATGTATTATCCATTTACAGAATCAAAATAGATATTTAAATGGAGATGGTTGATAAAACTGCATGCACAGATGCTTCTTATTTGTCATTTCAGTTAAAATGTAATTATATTCTCTAATTTGTGTATATTAGTATAATTACTCCACAGGGAAAAAAAAATATTGCCAGAGTACAGAAGTAAGCACTTCCATTACAGCATTTGTGTGTGTACAGAAAACACAAGACCGTGACTGTTTCATAGCAGGGTGCACAGTTTTATCACACGCTGAAAAAATTGCACACAAGGAAATAAGTCAAACTTATCAGTCACTCAGGATTATGGAGAATGATTACTGTAGACACTAACATTCATCAAATATTAAGGTGGTTTACTTTTTTTTTTTTTGGCTGGGCAGCAAACTTGCAAAGAAGCGCAAGGATGCCATGGGAACCACCCGTCAGGAGATGACCCACATGGTGAATGCCATGGACAGGAGTTACGCCGACCAGAGCACTCTGCATGCAGAGGATCCCCTGTCAATCACATTTATGGACTCACATAACTTCAGCCCCAGATGTAAGTAGACAGTTATAGATACTCCAGAGTGTAGGTGAATATAGAAACACAGAAAACAATTCTGCTTTTTAAGGAAAATTTTTTATGATCCAGGTTTTCCAGGAATGATGGTAAAGCCAAAGGTTGAGTAGGGATGTTTGTATGTTGTTCTTATTTGAATATGGCAAATTATTTTATTAAATATTTGCATGTGCCTTCACTATGCAATGATATTTGTTTTAGGGAAAGTATCATACATTTCAAGTTAAAACTTGAAATTGAGTTTTCCCTCATGAGACTATTTAATGCCAGCACGTTAAATATTACTGCACAACACCATGTCTGTAATGAATAATAATATGAGATCCAAATTAATTTCTATTTTTTTGGCAGTAAGGACATTACAGCAGAAGGAAACATTGACAATTTTCATTGCTGTTTGTGGAGTTTAGAAACAAGCTTGTTAATATATCTGCAAATGTGTTCTATATTTGTATTCATTTTTTGTAGACATGCCAACTGTCTGGTTTGGAAAAAGTTTGGGTTTCTGACTGTTAAGGGTTATAGCTGCCAGTGTTTAGCACTCTTGCCTCCCAACATCTGCACTATACCTTGCCAAAAGCGAGGTACTCCACTTGCGGACCAAATATTTCAAGACTCGTGTATAAATTACAAAGGCATACAATTTTGCCATGGAGCTGGTAGGAACCTGAGTTTCTCACAGCTCCATGGACTTGTGGCTTGGCTTTAAACAGATCTGAGCAGCCTGAGCTGCTTCTGAATTGCCACCTTTTGGGAAAGACACTCCATGTCTCTTCTCATCTCCCATACTGCTTACTGTGCTTGAGCAAAATGCATCCATGAAGGCTCTTAAGCTCTTTCCTGGTTGTTGTAAGGGAAATGCCTTTTGGAGGAGGGTTTATTGATTGGTTCGTTGAAGCTTACCAAACTGCCAAGTGCTAACATTTTGAGTGTCTCATAATCAATTATAAATGGGAGTATCAGCCTCATGGTTTTCCTACAGTGGAAAACACTGGTTTTGGCTGGAACAGTTTAAAAAGTCTACAAAGTTTGATGCCTTATTGGCATTGAAATTTGTGGAGGCAGGATTGCAGAGACAGTTAGATATGGACTGTGATGGTGGATCCCAGACTAAGAATTTATCAGAAATTTACATGGCTGTTAGTGAGCTTGGGCTGCCAGGCACTCAGGCAGCCTTTCAGATGGAGTGATGTGATGCCAAGAGTCCATGAGCTCCTGTCATCACAGCTGTCCTGGTTGGTTGGCAAGGAAATTGGACATCACCAGTTTCTAGCATCCTAGGAATTTGATTTTTCGTGTAATGGAGGGTTTGTTTCTTCTGACCATTGTCTGTACTGGGACAAGTCTTCCAAGATTTCAGGTTTTCCTGCTATGTGACAAACTTTCAGGCAGATTGTTTGAGAAGTGGAGCTTAATTCCATTACAGACACTTTGACGTTATGGTTTTTTGTTCCAGACTGGAACAAAACAAATCCTGCATTCTGCCATTTCTGTCCAAAACAGTGCATTTATCTCTGCATGGTTCTAGTTGTGATAATAAAAGATAAAATTCTATGAATTTTATTCAGACATCTGCATCTGTGTATCCCGTGATTTTCTTATACTCATTATGAACAATCTCTTTGGTACTGAGCATTAAAAAAGCTATTAACAGTAAAAATGTATATAATTTTTTTAATTGCCTTGAAAACTTTATAGAAATATCATTTTATTTTGAGATTAGCTATTCAAGTATTACATGAGAGGATGGTTTTAAAAGGAAAGAAGTGAGTTCTATGAAAGTGAACCATTATTGTGAAGTGAAAAAAACAATAGTGAAGGAGGAACCCTTTCAAAAACTAAATTGCATGTAATGTCTTCTTTATTTCATTTCAGTAAGGATCTCTTGGCTCTTATCATTACATTTCTAAAGTCTGAAATCACTGCCTTTCATACCTCTTTTATTCAGGATGCTTTCTTGAACTGTATTTATTCTGGTTTTCTATTGTAACAAAATTAATGGAGTTTAGTTATCACTTGGTCATACTCTGAAGTATATTGTTTTTGTTCTTAAAAATACACAAATTAAGGGTAATGTGTTTCTTCATGGGCTTTGTTTTCCTACAGTGCCCAATGATCCACTTGTGCCGACAGCTGTGTTAGGTGAGGACCCTAGTCCTTCATTATCCATCCCTGCATGAGTTCTGTCTCCTTGCATGGTTGAACGTTGAAACAGCTTGTTTTATGTAAAACTATGCTGTTCCCAGAAAATAATTTTACACTCAGTTCATCAACTCAGAATTAGACTGACAGCAATTTTAGAATAAAAATTATGTCCTCATTAAGAAGTTATTCCTAGTCACTGCTAATTGAAGAGTGCATGAGGAAATATGTAAATGGAAAACACTAAAATTTTTCTCCCCAGAGCTTTGAAACTGAATTCCAATAAATTGACATGTGAAACTAGAGCTCTATTAAGAGATCTTTAAAACCAAAATTCAGGTCCACATTAACATTTTTTGGCTCCCAAAGTTCAATTTTCTAAGTAACAAGAGTTAAAAGAAAAATGGAAAACAGAAAAACTTTCAGAATATCTAAGAGAAAACAACTTTCTTTGCATGTTCTGAACAGGTACTTCTCTATGCCTATATTAATTACTTAATTCAATTAGTATTAGCTAGTAAATTTTTCAGCTTTTTACTTACTTAAAAAAAGAACACACATTGAAATGGACAGGCTGAATATGTCTATGCTGCATATAACACTGAATGCAGGTTTTAGAGATTTTTTTTTCTTTTAAATAAAAAGATAAAAGTACAATTTGTACCCAAGTTCTTGGTTGGATAAACTCAATGTGCAGTATTGAGTTTCAGTCAGTTGCTGTGGTTATTTTAGGATAAAAGACAAAAATCAGAAAGCAGATGTGAATATAGACATGTTGAAAATTAGATTCCTAGAAGTAAATCTTAAAGGGACCTGGGGGCAAGGAAATCCCTTCTCTGTTTTGAGGAGGGATATTATACATATAATACAGCTTCTTTCTGGAAATTGTCTCATTACGTTTTAAAAATTTGTAGCAAACAGAATTTTGCTCTTGCAGTAGAATGTTCCAGTGCCTCAGTCCTCCTTAGTAAGAAAAAATTCTGATTTATATTAGTAATATTTGGGACCCAAAGGTCAATTTTCTGAGTATTATTTACTACTAACTGGGTATTACTACTAAGTATTAATAATGCTCACCCCTAGTTTTTCCTAATTAGGCTAATCTTGACTAAATTTTCATTGCTGTCGATTTAGCCATTTCCTTTTGAGAGACTCATAGAAAATATGGAAAACTGGCACATTTCTGTCCTTTCAAAACCGACTTTTTCACATGGAAAGGCTTGTGTCCTCAATTATTTCTCTTTTAGTTGAGTTTAACCCAGTTCTTTCACTCACCATCTTGTAGGTGACGTTTTCTAAATTTGTTGTCATTATTTTCCTCTGAATGTTTTCCAGCCTTCCAACTCCTAGGTTGAATTTTAAATTGCAGTGCCCCAAATCAGGTAGCATTCTTGGAAGTAATCTTAATGCTGAGCTGAGTGGAATAGGTACCCCCCATGACCCACTTTTACTGTTTCTGTTAACTGAACTGTATTTTCTCCTTTTTATTGTGTTCATGTTGCATTGAGTTACCTGTTAAATTCAGAGTTATAATTTTCCAGTCCATTACTCCATTTTGTAGTTATATATTTGACTTCCCTTTCCAACACACGCTATTGTTGCATTCACCATTCAATTCACCTTGTTGATTTTCACATTGTCTCCCAAATAATCAAGATAACTTTGTAAATCTGATCCTGTGCTTGTGAAGTGCTCATGGTGCCTTCAGTGGCATACTGCCATGGTATTTTCTGCTGTGGCAGACACAGTCACAGACAGCTGTGAATACTGAGGGGCAAGGAACTAACTGAAGAACAGCTTAATAGTTCCTGTCTGCTTTTTCATCTACTGGTAATGATATTCTGGGCATGATAATTTCCTCATATAAGCAAAGCATTGATAGTTGGAAGAGGTACTAATTTTCATAGAGTGGACTGAAATAGTGGAGAGAAATGTACAAGTTTTTTGGTACACCATGTAGTAAAAGCTGGGTATCTGTAACTTTGTTCCTTTGGAACTGCATCAATTGGCTCTACTCTATTTTAATAGAGCCTTTGCTTGGCCCAGCATGACAAAATAGTTTTCTTCTGCCTTATTTAGAGAAGAGGAATATTTTATGGGTTCTAAATCATAGAAAATGAGGTTTTTTATATGAAACTCTTATTACTTTGTAGCTATGCTAGTTTTCTTTTTCTTCATGTATAAGTTATTAATGCTGCTCTCCATTCTGTGTACATTAGCACTAAGTTGGTATGACAGTTTTGCTTTTCCTGAGTCCCAATTATTACACTGATAGTATAATAATGTAGCCCTTACATTTTTTAAACAGATTTCATTGTTGCCTATTGTGAAGATTTAACAACTTTGAATGTCGTTTTCTTTTAGTCATTTTCTAATATAGTCCTGAAATAAATTTCTCATGTTCTGTTCACTCATTGTTTTTTGCTGCTTCAATGGGTTAAAGTGCCTATTACTGGTAAGTATTCGATGAGCAACGGGGAGAACTACAAATCCTGAGGTGATTTGAAATGTGTGTGATTTGGTATGGGTACAATACAATAAAAAGTGACTGCTGCATGTCGCTCACCTTGTTAGGCAGATTAGTGAGGCATAAATTAGGTACTGAAATTAGCAACTCGGGTGACAGTTCAAAGAGTCAAATTTCTCAGGAGATTTAATTCCAGAAGACATTAATAGTGTTTACATTTTGGTGTAATTGTACAAAATCCAACCCCTGGGGAGTCCATCTTTTTCCTAGAGTGTTTTGCCTCCTAATCTAGATCCTTTGCAAGGAAAGTGGTAAACTGATTTCAAAGAAGTTTAGGAGGGGTTGACTACCCACTTCTCGTTTCAGTAGTTACTTAGATTAGAATTTTTCTTCCTCTGTAAATTAATTTGATCTAATAATTTCTAATTTGAATAAAATTACTATTTCACAGAAGGGATTGACAATATATGCAGCTGACCTCATGCAGCTTTGACCTATGGTTTTGATATGAGAATTCTTGTAGCACAGAGAGTGTTATAAGAAACTTCGTTGCTTATACAGGGCAAAAAGTTGTGACTAAAACAGCACACTCAACTCAAGTTTCATTTGTCTACTAAAAGACCTGAGTTAAAATGACCACTCTGTAGTGCTGATTCATCTTCTTAAGTGGAGGTGGTGTTCTGAAGTGGTGGCATAATTGCTTCTCTTTTTTACTGGGTTTTCAAGTCACTTTTTGCTGGCCTTAGACAAATTATGTGCTGATACCACTATGAAATTATTCTAATTTATTGTTTAAGTTGTAATATTGCTATTGATATGTATTAGCCCTTAAAAAGTTACTTTGGTCGATGGAGTCTGGAATTTCCAAGTACATTAATGTCATAAAGTTTTGTAGTGTCAAATAAAATGCCCCTCAGACATCTTTATTACTGGATGAAGGACTGCAGACTTTTGTATGTGTTTGCTGTTAAATTTCTTTATGTACTTCACAGTATTTATGTGCTGGAGAGTAAGTGCTTTGCCTTCTCAGAAATTAGAGATGTTTTTGAAGGAAAAGGTTCAAAATAGATGTTGATATGTATAGCAGCAGGTTTTACTGCTCTGTGGGTACATAATGTGCTGATTTCTTGTGAATACAGATGAAAATCACAGTGCAACAGCTGAGTCCAGCCGACTCCTGGATGTCCCTCGTTATCTCTGCGAAGGCACAGAATCCCCGTACCAGACTGGGCAGCTGCACCCTGCCATCAGGGTGGCTGATCTCCTGCAGCATATTAACCTAATGAAGACCTCTGACAGCTATGGATTTAAAGAGGAGTATGAGGTGAGATCTCCAGCGGTGGGGCTTTGCTAGGAAAAATCCCTTTGAAATCGGCAGCCTTTTGTTTGCATTGTATTGCAGAAGGATGGAACTAAATGTCATGAGTTTAAGTGAAAAACAGATGAACAGGCATAAGATTCTTATATATGTAACCCAAAAGTGAAATGGTAAATGGAGTCCAGTGGTTTGGGCCTTTACAACTGCCTGGTAGAAAATCCCTGTGTGTTCCCTAGGGTATAAAAAGAATCTTTTTGACATATTGTAAGACGTTGCCACTCTTTTGTTGCTGCTCTTTAGTGGAAATGCTGTAATTAGTTATGTGAGCTATTTTTAGTGCAGATCTCCTGGATTAGGTTAAAGAAAAGAATTTAACCTGCCTGGTTTTCCAAGAAACATTGACTGGAAGCACTCTCCTGGTTTATTTTAGCATCTCAGTAGGACAATAGTGGGACAGCTCCAGTTGAGAAGCAGTAAAGAGATAATAAGGGTAGTAATGTCTTGAAGTTCTAATTAAACCTGCCTGCCCATGTCTACTTACAGCTTTAATGTTAAAATGGAAACAAGAAATTCCCAGCCCTGGAGGCAGAAGATGAGTACAGATTCATTTGGCTTCTGATCTCTGAATCTGTTGTGATTCTTAGGGATTAGAATATCAGTCAGGACACACAGTAAAGATGGGAATGGGACTACTAAGGTTGCTCACAATACAGTTAGGTTTACAATGAGTTTTCTCTGAGTAAGCAATCTCTTCTGACACAGTTTTCAACCTTCTCTCCTTTCTGCAGCTGTCTCTACTGTAAACATAAGAACTGGAATAAATAAATGTATGGTTTTTAAAAGAATATTATGCTCTTTTCCTCTCTTTTACTTAAACATGCTTTGTTATGCTCTGCCTAACTTCAAGGCTAAGACCAAGTGTCAGCCACTACTCTGGGGGGAGGGTGGTCCCTGATGCTGTATCAGGTGTTTTCCTGCTTGCTACTTCTTCTCTCTCTATACATGACATCTGTTCCCTGCTTTGGGCTTCTCACTGTGCATTTAAGTTCTGATTCCATGGCTACTGTGTATTTTCTGGAGATAACTTACCCAGGATAAGAGATCATCTGGAAGGAAGGAGTAGCATAGACCTACAACAGCAGTAAAATATCTACGGGCAATGAAGAAAAAACCAAGCAGAAATAAAAGCTGCTTCTATCAATACTGAGAGATCAAAATCTTAAGAGTTCAAAAATGTAGAATAATTTTGCTAGTGACTAGAGGTAGGGATATGAGGAAAGGCAAAAAGAACAATGAACATTGGCAGAGGAGAGTTCCTAATGTCTCTGTAGGAAGGAAAGGTGTTTTACTAGGTAATGTGGAAAGCAAATGTAATGCTGTAGTAAACAGGCTCTATATTACACCGTCCTGTAAGAAGAGCGAACAGTATCTCTGTGCTTTCTCAGTTTACTGTCATTCCTCCATAGCAAGGATGTACAAGCAAGTTTAGCCTTCTGGAAATTACAGGATTTGAAATCCCTGTGGAGTTCCTCAGTGAGTCAGAGGGACAGAGGCTCCTTCTTTAGATATTTCTGTACCATGGCACTGCCTGGGTGACCAGGGCAGGCGAGCAAAGCTGAACTTACTTTATGGTGGGGCAGTTCTTTTAAACTGTTATTTTTGGAGATAAATTAATGGTCAGAATGTTTTCTTTCGGAACATTTTTATTTATAGAGTTTCTTTGAGGGGCAGTCAGCTTCTTGGGATGTCGCTAAGAAGGATCAAAACAGAACAAAGAACCGCTATGGAAACATTATAGCATGTGAGTATCGGTGTCCTCGCTTTGAGCGATAGCTCTACTTGTGTGTTACTCAGGCTGTGCTCTCTCTTCCTTTGCAAGTCTCCAGTGGCACAGCTGCTGAATACCTGCGGTGGAGAAGCAGAACAGTGCCTTTCTCAGCTTTTTCTTTTTTGTTGTTGTTGTTGTTGTTGTTCTTCACAGTTCAACTTTCTTCCTTTTATAACTCAGGCTGAATTTCACATTTGCATCTCTGTTGTGCAAGCTGTGGTAAGCATATATCAGCAACATGCTGGCACTCATTTGGGTGTTGATTCTGTTTGTTTGCAATTTGTATTGTTTTACCCATGCAACGGAACACGCAGGAATCACCGTGCACGAGAAATCCCTGAATGGGCAGAGTTACCTCTTCATCGAATCCCAAGTGCATTGCTAACTCCTCTGTCTTGATTTCATTAATGTCTCAATATGAACTTGAGCAGGCTTGGGTGGAAGTGAGGAAACAGTAATCAGCATTTTTGGTTTTCTAGATTACCAGCAGTGGAGCTGATGTTGAAAGGGACTTTGAGCAAGTAACCTGGTTTCTTTGTGTCTTTTTAACCACTTGTGACAGTGCCAATACCTTTCAGCTGTGCTTAATGAAATTGAAATGTAGTGAAGGTTTTTTGAAGTAATTGCAGCCCTCAGACAAAATGGTTCTTTGTATTTCTGTGTAAACAATTTGTATTTAAGGATTGTAAATTGTGAGGCACTTGTGCCAGCTGATTTTGGTTTTCTAGATGACTTACCGTTAATATTTTACTTTAAAATCACACTTCAAAAAGGCTCCGTAACCACTTGGTTTTTGCAGATGACCACTCCAGGGTGATTTTGCAACCTGTTGAAGATGATCCATCTTCAGATTACATTAATGCCAACTACATAGATGTGAGTGGAATGTACAGCTTTCTCCCTCTCAATTTGCCAGCTTCTCTATGTGAAATTATTGCATGTTATGCTACAAAATTATTAAAAGCTTTCTTTTATTAAGAACAAATGTACACTTTCCTTGTTCTACGTCCTAGTACTCACTGACATTGTTGTGCTTTCTTTCACATCTGACTTTGGTTTGGGCTGTAGATTTGGCTGTACAGGGATGTAAGTACCACTATATGTGAATAACAGCATCCTATTGTAAATATTTAATATAGATATTGTTATTAATTACTTTCTTCTTCTATTTTTATCAGTTGATAACTATGCATGCCTCATCTAATTTATCTCATCTGTTCCTTTAAAAAATTTATTTTCTGTGTGAATATTTTTTGTACCTGTTTTGAAAAGATAATTTAGCCTTTTAGCTTAGCCCTGAATATTATTGGATGTTCCTATCTGTTAAAGAGAATTTGTTGTTGACATTTTTTAGTGGTCATTTTGGCCACTAGCTTTTCTTTTCCCCTTCCCACGTATATGTAAGAAGCTAGATAGTAGGCTGCACTGTAGTTCTTTGAAAATATACCTGTGGAGTAGTCATAATATGTGTTTAGTAAAAAAAGGAGGGATAATGACATATGTAGGTTTGGGGGGGGGTTGTTAATTTGTTTATTTTTAACAATTTTTTAGACAAGCAATATTTAGCTGGCATTTGCTTTAAGGTGCTAATTTAGGCATTACAAAGTATATACACAAACACACACGCATATATATATATATTTTAACATGGAAATTTCCTCACTTCTGAAAAAGTCTCTAAAATTTGAAATTCCATACTTTAATCAAAATACAAATTCATTTATAAACTTTAAAAACTGATCCAAATTTTGCCAGGCAATTTTACTAACACAATATGACTTTTCTGTAACTAACACCTTAGGAATAAACAAGTTGTTATATTCAGATTAATTCCATAGCCATTTGGAAGATAGTGGAGTAGTTATGACAAGTGTTTTTGAAATCCATGGCTTTGATTGCTTTTCTTTATAATTGCACCTTAGTAGTTTTTCTTGACCACTTTTAGTTGATAAGTTATTTAAGACCCTTTTGACTTTCCAGGATATAATGATTTAGCTCCAGATATATTTCTGTCTTTTTTATTTGGATATTTTAACATGGCAATCTCTGTGAAATGATAGGCCTGTGATATTTTGCCTGGGGCCTGAAACAAGAAAACTCTCACAGATTTTTAATAATTCCCTGAGGATATTGATTTTCTTATTTAGGAGTGAATTGAATCTCATTAGAAGCAGGCAAGAAAGCTACAAGTTAAAATTGGCATTTTACAATTTTTAAGTGACACTTTTATCTTCTTCTCAAAAGCATTACTAAGTGTAAACCTGTCTAGCACAGGTTCTACTTCCATAATTTTAAGATGTGACTTGATATTAAGGACTTCAGGAGAAATTCTTTCATCATTTGATGCAATTTTGGTCTCCCATAAAGCCAAGAATAGGATATTCAAATGTTTTTTTTAGAAGCCCCAGAGGAAGGTGCTCTCACTCTAGACAGGATAATGAAGCAGTCTGTGGAAAAGAATATAAACTCCTTGTGTACACTGAAATCCTTCACTTTAGTAGCATCTTGTGAATACCAGGAATCGAAGGGCCCGTACTCCCCTGTAATGCAATACTTGCAGCAAGTGGCCTAATAAAACTTAACCTGGAGAATAACTGGAGTTATAAACATTTCCACATTGTGAAATTCAGTATTGTCTTCTCACCAGCAACACTAAACTTTCCTTCCTCTTTGTAGCTAAATTGCTGGCACTGGTCAAAATATACTCTGAATTATTTCCTCAAGAGCAGTAGCTCTTTGTCTTGCGTTTTTTTTGTGGACAATTAGTGCTGCTAGCATTGGCATAGATCCAGCTATCTGGAAAGGCTTAGCTGTGTAGGATTATCTATTTACCTATATATATGTGTGTGTGTAAGACTGTGTATATACTTGTGTGTATCATGCCCACTGTAATTGATGCACACTTTGTACAGTCAAGCAGATTTCACTTCAGTAGAACCTTGATTCTGTGCACACACCAATGTGTCCCCGTTACTTAGGGCTGAGGCACATCCCTCTTTGTGCCTCTCAGTGATTTTCTGTCCATAAAAAGACAAAAGGTGTGTATTTTTTCATATTGGCTAAACTGGGAACACAGATCAGCTGTGAGATAATGTGGTGGCAGAGAATTTTTATTAAATTTAAAATAAAAGCCCAAATATATACAGCTAGGGAAATAATGTCAATAGAAGACTGATTTTTAGCTGCAAGGGACCAATCTAGAGTATTCCTTCCTGGTACACTACAATGTCTGTTCAAGTCAGATGTTATTATTTTCATTTTATCTGTTGTCATTCAAACCTTTTCAATATTAACTGGTTTTTTAGGTTTTGAGCTTCATGCTGCTCTTAAGTATTGGTTTGTTCTGAAAATGTTGTCTAGATATAAGGATTCTGTAGTATCCTTATGCTTTTATTTTCCACTCTTTGTTACTAATATGGTACTCAAACCAACTTATATTGCTGTTTTAGGGATATCAGAGACCAAGTCACTACATTGCAACCCAAGGTAAGGATCTGCCAGCTTTAATCAAATCAAACAATTGTTCTCTGTAGAGTTCCACAGTGTTTTGGTAAAATAGAAGTAGAAGAAAGTAAAGCATACCCAGTATTGTGAGTTGTCATCTTGTGTTATGGTAAATTAACATAGTATGTTTGGGTGGAATGTGAATAAATTCAAAAATTGCACTTATGTATCATGTTAATTAGCTATTGAGCAAATCTGTCAGTGATAAATTCAGCTGATAAAGTCAGAACCTACTACCATGATTTCCAATTATGAAGATGAATAGAGAAAAGAGACATGAACAGAGAAGAGAACAGTTTCAACCTGCCTTGAGGCATTTTTCTTTCCATATTATGTTTTATTTTGCTGTCTACAACTTGGTCCAGGATGCAGTGAAGATAGTAATGATAAATTAAACTCTTTCAGAAAATCTGGGTAAAGTAATGCCAGAGGACAAAGACTCTTTGTACAAAGGAGTGAGGCAAATCTTTATCATATAACATCCTACTAATAAAAAGGGGTGCTAGAGGGAAAAAAAAAGATTTTTTTTTGTTTGTATTTCTGATAGAACTCCTCACAATGAGGAAAACCAAATAGATTAGTCTAAGATTGCACTGAAATATCAGAGGTTATGATTTAAAGTAAAAATAATTAGATTTAGGTGTGCCATTATTTGATCTGTCAGCATAATCAGATAGCTGTTTGGAAATATCCTGTTATTTGTCCCTTAGTTGATTGCAGGCACACACAGGAAAGTCAAAGTAAAAACTTAATTTAAAGCAGGGTGCTTAGAGTCGTGACCACATTTGTTTTTTATTTTTGTGTAAGTGCTGCCTAAATAGGTCTCTACCTGGCATTAAGTCTACATTTGTATTTTACTTCTGTTTTACTATGCAAATCATTGCACATAATAGTATGTAAAGGAGAGAAAAATGTATTGCTGCTTTTGTGTGCAGCCTTTGATCTAGCATATGAAAGAATGTGTTTTGAGTCTTCAAATGTGGTACTTGAGGTTAGTGGTGTGCTTGGCAACGTTAGGTTTATAGTTGGACTTGATGATTTTAAAGGTCTTTTCCAGATAATTCTGTGATCCTATGTCTGTTGTATACAGTAATATTTACAGCACTGCTGGATGGTGGTAAAGGAGCTGTTTTGGAGACTATTGTAACAGGGTAAATGCTTCTGTCACTCAATTAAACATGTCTCTGCAGCAGAGCAAGAAGCAAAACTTACACATGTGCTTCTCATTGCCTCACAGAAAAGTACTTAAGTTAGTTTAAATAGTTTAGTACTTTAAGTTAGTTTAAATACACTTCAGGGGGAAGTGTCTGGCTCAGTGCCTACTTGTGCATCCATGCTTGCCAGGAAGCAGATAGCAAGTGCAGAGTGTCTGTACCAGCACCCTCCTGCCTGATACTTCATTCTGGCATGGGCATCTCCTTGGTGAGCACCTGAAGAATCTTGTTCTCAACACGTTATATTTAACAAATGTAAAACAAAACTGGAAGTGTAATATAGATGCAGCCACACATTGCTGTGTCCTTGTAGTTCTCAAGCAACTTCTGCTGTTTTGCTACATGAAACACCTGCCATTATTTCCTTTCAAGTGGTAATTCAGTTAAATTGAGAATATCCAGCACTGGTTAGAAGTAACAATATAATCTGGAAACCAGCACAATGGCAGGATGATGTGGTTTCACAAAGTTTTCTTCTCTGAGCAAATGTGCTCACATGTATCAGCTCTGAAACACACCGGATTTTATTCTTAGCATTCACTTTGACTGTTATTTTTTTGCAGAATATTACCTGGATTTTTTTCTTACAGGTCCAGTTCATGAGACTGTTTATGACTTTTGGAGAATGATATGGCAGGAGCAGTCAGCTTGTGTTGTGATGGTCACAAATTTAGTGGAAGTTGGAAGAGTAAGTTTTTGAATTTGTTTTTCTTTTAATGCTGCAAGTGTAAAGAAAAAACTGCTAACCAGGCATAATATGTGCAGAATGTAGAAGGGTCTGGTGAAGGGCAGCCCTGCATCCTGAGGGGGCAAGGGGAAGGAGTCCAGGCAATGTTCCAGTTATGGTATTGTCTAAAAGCAACTTCTAAAAACTGATGCTGTGTTGCTTTCATGAGTAGTGGAAAATTATCTGAATCCAAAATTTATATTTCGCAGAATTGATTTGTATAGTGTCACTCAAATGAGAAGAGTAGTAGAGGAAATGTGCTTCTGTATCAGTGGCTAGAAACCAGCAAATTATTTACAGTTTAGCAGTAATACATGCCTCAGGGAAGTCTATAAGGTATATGGGATTACTTGCAACAGTTTGATTATGGGTACAAAATGCATCACAATTTAGCATAAGTGGAAATATATTCCACAGCTCAGCACTAAAGAAAATACAAATGCTCATTTAGAAGTGAATTTGGCCCCTGAACACAGCTGTGTAAATCAGTGGAAACTCCTTGTAGCTAGTGCTTAACTTGACATAACAGCCACAAGCCATGACAAGCCACATGAATGCACAGTCATTTTGGAAATAAATGCGATGTAATGCAGTACATGCAGTGCAGTATCCTCAAGCTTTTCTTTTCCCTTGGTGTAAAATCATACCCTTTTTTTATTTAGGTCAAGTGTTACAAGTACTGGCCTGACGACACTGAAGTTTATGGGGACTTCAAAGTGACTTGTGTAGAGGTGGAGCCCCTCGCGGAATACGTTGTCAGGACCTTCACTCTGGGAAGGGTGAGCACGTTTTAAAAGGGCTTAGCAAAATCCTGTTTCCTGGTAGCAAGGAGGATGAAAGAGGCTATACTGAGGTTTCTGTGGAATACCAAATCCCTCTGGCTTGTTAGCTGGGCCACAAAGTAGGCAGCCTTACCTCACCATGGGAGTTATGCATTGCATCAGTGCTACCCAAGCATGCATCTCACTGTGGGACTTTGAATTTCCCCAAAAATGTCAGCTGCTGCCATCCCCCTCTGAAAGTCACCTCTTCTCCACAGTCACACTTCTGAGCTAAACTCAAGTACCAGATTATGAGTCATGCCTGCTGTTCATCCCTTAGCCCTCTGTTCTGACCTCTTCTGAGTCAATCTCAATCAAAGGACAAATTCTATGAATACTTTGTGTGATACAGTTGTGGTCTTATGCTAAATCATATTTGCCTTTAAATGTAGCAGGCCCTTGCCTTAGTTAGCAAAACTTCTGAAAATCAATGTGAAATACATCGAAGTCTATTAGAAAAAATATCTTCAGTGCAGCAAAACTAGCATACCTAATACCTAAAGTAAAAATTACAAACTTCAACATTAAAATAACATCTCTAAGTTTCCTATGGATCATTGCTTTAAATAATTGCTGAAACGATGAAAACTGCATGTAGATTCTACCAATATGTGTGATCATTATTTGAGCGAGATAATATCTAGTCTATGAAATAATTCGAATTTCATAACCTTTTTTTTTGCCTTTTACAGAGAGGCTACAATGAAATCCGTGAAGTTAAACAGTTTCATTTCACTGGCTGGCCAGATCATGGAGTTCCTTACAATGCCACAGGACTGCTTTCCTTTATACGGAGAGTCAAATTATCTAACCCTCCTAGTGCAGGGCCTATTGTTGTCCACTGCAGGTGTGTACCAAAGGCATAGATTTGTATTTTTCACAACTGTTTATATGGGTATTTACAGCAGTTTCTTCTTAAGCATCCATCATTTTGAAGTGCTCTGTTTTTGTTCTTCCCTTTTTGAATTGCCTAATTCACACTGCAGTAGGATTTGGCTGTCTACAGCAATGTTTGAAAATAACCAGGTTCTTTTCTGAAATAGAATAGTCTGAGATTTTTCTTTTTCCCGCAACAGGTGCACCAACTAAATCATGATACTTCAGGCTATCATTTTAGGTAGCCTTCAACAATTTTGTGACAGCATTTGGGAATGAGTGTAGATACATCTGCTTTAATAGCTTGGTGTTGCATATAATGTCTGAACAGATTATTAATTTAAAGCAAAGTAAGCAACTAGATGAAGAGAGATGGAATGAGGTTAGTGGCAACAAATACGGAAGGTTTCTCCTGCACAGATTTTGCAAGGTTATGTTGTTGGGACACCATCCTTTGGCAAATAGAATTTGCTTTCTACAAATGTTTGATTTACCTAAGTATTTTAGTCAAATGTTTAATTACATTTTGTAGATAAAGTTACTCAGCCTTTACAGATTACAATAATTCACTGTGCAAAAATTGTCCTTAGCTTTATGTAAAGCCCGAAATAAATCATAAGTGAATCTTCTGGATATTGTTAAATGTGCTGTCTGAACAAGCTTGGAACTTGCCTGGTAAAACATACATTTGAGTTTCTTATTGTAATAGATAATTTAAAAATCATTCTTAGTCTTATTAAAGAAAAACAAGATCTATAATATTCTGAAGTGCATAAGATTAATCAATCTTCAGATTTCAGTTAAACTAAGATTTTAATTTAAATATTGATCTGGGTGATAAAAGGAATAAACTTTTTTTTGCTGTTACTTAGTGAATCAAATGTGATAGAAAATTTTTGTTTTGAACACATCAAAAGATTTAAAGGACATTATTATGAGAAGGAGAGAAGATAAAAATTAGATAGTGGTTGTGATAAAAAATGGAATGATTTTATGCAATTCTCTCAATAATGGTTATGAAGTTTGTGGAAGTTTTTCTGGGGCTATTCCTAACAGTATTTACTGATTCTTTTCAGTGCTGGTGCTGGACGGACAGGCTGTTATATTGTGATTGATATCATGTTGGATATGGCAGAAAGAGAAGGGGTTGTGGATATCTACAACTGTGTCAAAGCTTTGCGGTCCCGGCGCATCAACATGGTACAAACTGAGGTACAGCAGTTTGCCTTTGAAGCACCTGATGCTTTTTGAAATGTTCTAGGTCAGGATTTCACTGTGACTCTGCAAAGTGAGCAGGTGGTGGCCCTGTTGAGGGGGTGCCTCCACTGGCGACGTTTGCTGAGTGTAAAAGCACCCAGAACCAGGGTGGTGCAACAAATCTGACAACTTTTGTAGTCTTCACAGAAACAAGTGCCCTACTAACTAGGTAAGAAAAGGAAAGAAAGATGGATTTTTTCAGGGAAGACCTTACATTAGGCATGTCTGGGGTGTCTCTCTCCAGCTCTAGTATTAGCAATCCTAGGATCCCAAAGCTGGAATTTCAGCCAGCTGACTCTAGCTTTAGACAATCACCAATCACTTTATCTATAAATTGACTGGTGAACTTTATGTCCATTTCAGAGTCTCTTTTCAATTCTGTTTTTGTTTGCTTTATTAACCTTGCTGCGAATCTTTTCCATATTTTTACTCTTGGTCTTTCAACACACCTTCAGCAGCTTCACAATAAAACTATTGCCTTAGGAATGAAGTTCTAGAAGCTCCCACTCTGCCACCAGAGTACCACTGAGCTTCCAAAGTTTAAACAGATTATTGGTTCCAATTGGCAGATGACTTGAAGTGGTTCACCACTTCTCTCTCCTGCCCTCCATAAGGACATGTACCTGAGATATTATTTAACCTATGACCTCATGGAAATCTCTGCAGATGGCAGCCAAACATGTCAGTGTAATTTGGTGCAGTTTTAATTCCATGATGCAACCTATGCCAATTCAAAAATAGATCGTCCTGGTCAACTACTCCTGCTATAGGCCCATTCACCTTTGGGAAGTGCATGGCATGGAGTGTTTCAGTGTGACTGCTTTAACCCTCCCAGTCTAATCCACACTTGCATGTGAATTAACACATCTAGTATTATTCCTTTCTGTCCCTTTTGTCTCTTACCTCTCACCTTCTCTCAGAGTTTCATGCTTGCGTAGCAAAACACACTGTCATTGCATCGAGTTCTTGTGATGGTCATACAGTCAATAATAGCTCCATAGCTGTATGGGTAAGGCTGTAGTGCCAGAAGATGACTGTCGTCATTGGACATGTGCTGCTTTTACAGGCACATGTTAAATTTTGTGCTCTTAAGGGCCTTGTTGGTATTCACAATACCTACATGAGGCTGGCACAGTTCTAGAAAAAGTTTGACTGGTGAATAAATATAATGGGCATTTTTGTGTAAAAATTGACAGGAGGCCTAACTGAAATAGTAATGCAGTTATCTAGGACTCAGGCTCTCACAAGGCAAGTTAGTAAAAATGAGAAGAATTGGTGCTTCTGTTGGAGCACACTGGGATTTATTACTGGCCTAGAGCCAAGTATGAGGCAACTGATGCACTAGCTTGCACATGCACAAGGAGAATGCAGCGTGCCAAATACTTGCTAATCACACTAGTAGTGCTTGAAGCAATTTACACTTTCTGCTAACATCAGAAGATTGAAAACTATTAAAAAAAATTGATAAAGCAAACAAGCCTTTGGCATATGCACAGAAACCCACAAGCACTACAAGAAAACTGAAAATCTCTTAAATAAATTACTATCCCTGTTCTGTTAAGTTTTACTGAATTTAAATTGGTCCTGAAGGAAACATCCTTGTTTGCTGCACCTCAATAAGAACAAGACTGTTTGTATTAAAGCATTATTTAATGTATTGATGGACAGTACTTTGAATGGGTTTAAGAGTGCACAGTAGGCCTGTTTATCCTAAAAGAAGGAAGGATCTGTTGGTTTTAAATGACTACAATTTTTGTTTCTTTTCCTAATTTGACAGGAGCAGTACATCTTTATTCACGATGCCATTCTAGAAGCTTGCCTGTGTGGAGAAACTGCCATTCCTGTCTGTGAATTCAAAGCTGCTTATTTTGATATGATTAGAATAGACTCTCAGACAAACTCTTCACATCTCAAAGATGAGTTTCAGGTATTCACAGCTCCTACTAACTCTTGATGTGACAACAATTTTTTTGCCTCTAGATACATTTAATTTATTTTAAGGAGAAGGTTTTTCATATGACTTTTGTAGCAATTTGTCCCTAACTTTTTGTCCACAAAATAAAGCACCCATGTTTATGTGCTTTGCAAAATTGTTTTAAATACAGAATATCCTCCTTTTAATAAAATTGCAGTAAATATCTGTCTGAAATAAAGACCAGTGAGTTGGAGCTAGAGAGAGTTCTGGCTTGCATTTGCACGTCAAAGGCATAGCTTTTTAGAGCTCCAAAGGATCCTCTTTGTTTTATTCCTTTCTGAAGGGATGGTGTCACGTGGAATGTGTTCAGTGGTACATGGAGTGCCTTTAATACCTGCAGCTTCACCCCCCTTGCAAAGCCCCAGAATGTCCAACAAACAGATAGGAGCTTGCATTTACTAATGTCTTCTTGCTAATGCCCCGTGTTTTCTCATATTGCAATATTTTACAGTAAAGCTCGGGGCTCCCGAGTGCCATGTGTGTTAGCTCAGCGTGCTAAAACAAGCGTCCTCTCTCCCTTAGACCCTGAATTCTGTGACCCCTCGCCTGCAGGCGGAGGACTGCAGCATCGCCTGCTTGCCAAGGAACCACGACAAGAACCGCTTCATGGATATGCTGCCACCTGACAGATGTCTGCCTTTCTTAATTACTATTGATGGGGAGAGCAGCAACTACATCAATGCTGCTCTTATGGACGTAAGAGACTACCTTCTTTGTCTGCATAGCGTGCCATGGAAAGCTCTGTAATGTGAGAGAGAGCACTTGCTGGTTTAAGAAAGGGTAATTCTGTTGCTGCAGTGCCCAGTAAAACAGTCCTAATGAGGAAAGGCTGGGGGGAGAAGATAAAAAGCCCCACCAGCTTGTGTTTTTGTTCAGAAGGTTAGTTATCTTTAGTCTTTGGCATCCTTGTGGGATCCTCTGGAAATCTCACCTTTTTAACAGCATTACATAAAGCTCTAGTGTCCAGACCTCCAAATCTCAAATCTCAGCAGGATCTCAAAAATCTGCTGTTTGTTAGGAAGTAAATGTTATCTATCTGAACATGAGATTACTATCACTATTTCATAAAAAAAGTCTTTCTATACTGAGGCAGGAGCAACAGAGGAAGAAAAAATGGTTTTCTTGGCATGTTTGGGTATAGAGTATAGGATTCGGGAGTTTGTTTATATTTTGAGTTGCTGCTCTTTAAAGTTGAAGTCTGAGTAACAGAAGTACTGTCAGGGGAAAAGGTGAATTAATTTAATTAAAGGTGAGTTGAACCTGCTTATATTCTTCTGATCAATAAAGCAGTTCATGTGCTGCCAGACACCTTCCTGTGCCTCCCATTAGCATTTCCAAAGTTAGGCCCCTAAAGCCACTTTACAGTAAATGCTTAAATAAGTGGCCTGATTTCCAGGAGCATCTCCCCTTCTTCAAAAATAAAATGCTATCAGAAACTGCCATGTCAAGGAGAGAGCTGAAATAAAATGGCAAATAGCAGCAGAAATCATCAACATTGATTGGTATAGTCATCCTTGAGTTCTGCCTGAGCTAGGGCAGGAAACAAACTGATAGCAAAATGCAGCCCCTAATCTCACAACCAGCTTATTGTGTCAAAAAAAAAAAAAAAATAGAGGAGTAGTGTGTGTAAGACCAATGTATCACTGGGGGCTGAACAGATGAATTAGAGCAGTGAACAGAATTCTGGCAGCAAAAATTGTTTAGAATTGCAGTTAAAATGGCATTAAGCACCTGGATAAAATTGATGTGCTATGATCCAGCCAACAGAGCTGCATTAAGGAATGTGGTTTGGGGTGAAAGAAAGGCAACATGGACTGTGGGGGGCAGGAGGACTCTTGAGTGTGCAACAGCAGGCAGAACATGAACCAAGCTATATATTAATGGATTGGCAATCAGAGGTAATTTAGAAAATGCAGAAATGGTACTAATAAAGGAAAAACAACAGCAGAAATAAAAGGTATTATATTACAATAAGGCATATAACAAGGTTATAAGTAAAAGGTTAAAATTTTGGGGAGCTTTTTTTTTTTTTTTGCCTTTTCTCTTCTGGTGGTTTCTTTTAAGACTGATTTATTCAGAGAAGAGGAACTACTCCTGGACAAGAAAAAGGGACTTTCAATAATAAAACTGAAAGAGGAACTTGCCTCTTATCTTTCTTTTGAGAAACATGATAAATTGTGGGAAAGAGGGTTAGGAAAACATCAGCTAGGACTTGTTTTATATCTTAAAAGTACAAGGGAAGAATAAAAATTGGTTGTCCCTGTGTTGTCCCTGGGCAGTTCTAGGAAGTAGGACATGAACTGCTAGTACCCCAACATCCTTCCTGCATTAGAAAAGGTAAAAAAAAATCTATATTAATAAAATCAGCCACCTCCTTAATCTCTTGTCAAGCGACAAGAGATTAACAAGAAGAGACATTAGAGACATTAGAGACATTAACAAGAAGTTATTGGAAGGTATGTTGATACATTGCACATAACGATCCCTTAGATCAATCTTCAAATAAGCAAGCTTCCACAGCAAAAGTGGTTTATCTACCCTACCAGGTCTTTGTCCTGGGTTAATTTACTTTTCCATGGATGGTTACAAATTGCCTGCAAAAGACTTCTGATCTCTCCTCTTCTGCTTGCTGCTCATAACACATCCACAGGAAAGTAGCTCCTCCACTGCTAGTTACATCTCAGTTACATGAGAGACTGGGAGTCCCTATTTGCAGCTGTGTATAACACAGCATACAGAAAATGGAACCTGTGGTCATGGCAGGAAATAGGATTTTGCTGTTGAACTTATGCTTTCTGCTGGAAATGGGTCCCAGTGATCCCAAAAGTCAGTTCTGTGGGTGTCCCTGTGGCTGTGCACTGTGAAACGGAGTTTGGGATTGAGCTTAGTCCCCAGTTCAGTCATAGAGTTCACATAAAGCCTACTGTGGAGAGGGTGATCTTCTGAGGTCTCTGCACCCCTTTCTGCATCATTGGATGAAGGTTCCCTGCTTGGCTCCTGGACACAGTGCCTAGAGAAGAGTTGCCTGAGCCTCAACTCAACTGAGCCACGAACACCTTGGAGTGTGTCTGGAGCATATCTGAGTGTAAAAACAGGGCTTGTTCTGTAACCAAGAAGAAGGCAAACCTGAGCAGAGTAACCTCTTTGTTCTTTGGAGATGATATGTTTTTAACTTTTACATCCTCAGTGATATATGAAGTAACTGATGTCACACCTTTGTTCCGTTTTTAAGTTTTGTTCTGTTCAGTAGAATTTAAGTACATCCCATACCAGTACTAACAAAATTGTTTTCTTTTACAGAGCTACAGGCAGCCGGCAGCTTTTATTGTCACACAACATCCTTTACCAAACACTGTGAAAGATTTCTGGAGATTAGTGTACGACTATGGCTGTACTTCTCTTGTGATGTTAAATGAAGTCGACTTAGCACAGGTTAGTTTGGAGCTCGAGTTTTCCATGTACCATCACATGCTTTAATCATTCTGGATTTACTACATAATGAAAATGTAGAGCAGTGCATGACTTTACAATTATTCTCTGCTCTACAGCAACTAATCAACACTAGCTGCTCAGTAAAGGTTAGGTGAGATGTCTGCAGTGGAATAAGGCAATGCTCAAGTTGTAATTTACCATTTAACTATGGCTGTTTTGCTCTGTCACAGGGTTGCCCACAATACTGGCCCGAGGAAGGGATACTGCGGTACGGCCCCATCCAAGTGGAATGCATGTCGTGTTCCATGGACTGCGATGTCATAAACAGAATTTTCAGGATATGCAATCTAACAAGAGTAAGGATTATTCTAACAATATGTGACAGAAAAATATGTCATTTTTCATGCTCTCTTGGCTCTTGTGCTTTTTAATTTTGAATAATAATAAAGTACTAATGTTCATAAGACATTATCCAGAAAAAAGTCAGTCAAGTATCAGTATCTAATACTGATTTCTAGTACTTTTCTACAGCTGCAGTACTTTTCTACAGTACTTTTCTACAATAAGCAGAGAGAGCTTTAAGGTGAATGGATGTTGTTCTGAGGCATTCATCCCTGATGTGTGAGAAGTATTCTGTATTCTGTTTGTTTGGAGTACAGTAAAAGAAATATCCCTGTAATGAATGTGTACTGACAGGTATTTAGTTCATAGCTTTGGTAAGATGTTTTCTGTGGTGAATCACGAACAGAAACACTGAGGCTGATTTTACAACCAGCACCTTCTCAGCCTAAGATGTGAAAACCACAACAGGAAAGGCAGACTGTGGCACCCTGCAAAGCAGGGTGTGATAAAACCCTGAAAATTCCTCTGCCTCTAGTGGGTTCTGCCACCACTGTGCCTCAACCTGCAGTTATCATCTTTTTCTCAACTTCAGTAGCAGCACCAGTCTTGCATTCTTGTCAGCTCTTTCATACTTTAGACCATCTTATCTTTTTACTGTCCTATAGTGTTCCACACTCTTGCAGCATCTTCTTAAACCCTGCTTGCCATACAGTGTTTCCTCTTTAGCTCACCTCTATGAATTGCTTATTTATATTGCCCACCACAAAGAGTTACAGACACTTGTTCCACCAGTCTATGTACAATTAACCAGCAATCTATATTTTACTTACCACAACTGCTTTTTATTTTCCATCCAATACTGAACTTATCATAATTTCTAGTGTATCTTGAGTATATGTTTAACTCTCATTAATCTTGAAAGATGACTGTGGGGAAAAATAATTACTGTGTACACAAAGATCTTTCATGTGTTTTGTTTTAATTTTTGTTTTCTTTTATTTTGGTCACATTTTCATTTATCAGAGGGCAAAGATCAGTTTTCATGTGGCTAGTATTTTACTTTTTTTTTTTTTTTTTTTGCTTATATTCAGAATTACAAAAAACATTTTCAGCTGGTTTTGGAAACTACAGGAAACAAAGGTGTGGGCACACTGGCATATATTACACCATAGGACTTTTTTCTTGTATTTTGAGACTTCCTCTTTTTTTTCTTATTTTATTTTTTTCCATTTCTTCTTTTTTTGTGATGCTTTGATTTTCTACTCTTCTACTTCTCTTTGTCTCCTACGTCCTTTTGCTCATAAGCCTTGTTTTTAAAAATCTCTCTGCTCTGTTGCTACTTTTCTAAAATCCACATTCCTACTCATCATCTTCAGCTTCAAGAAAGTAGACAGAGTATTTATTCTTCCTGTTATTGGGGCCTTTCTTGTGACAGTCAAATTCTATTCAAAGCTCTCCCCGTGTCACATCTAGCACCTGGAAGGCTCAGAGACTGGCAGCAAGGCTGTCATGATTATTATAGTCTGGCACAAAGGGAAGACTTCAAGGACAGTAGTCATGTTTTTGCACCAGTGTTACTTGTTGTTCATTTATAATGGGGTCAGTTCATGAATAGGGGCCAAATGTATCTCCCTCTATTTTTGCGAGTCTAAGAATTTAATAGTGATGTTTTAAATTGATTAGTGGTGCTAAGCAACCTTGGCATATAGAATCTATGGAATCTAGGGTATTTGTTGATTTAGAATTCAGGACAGGTTATGTTTGTGATCGATAAACTGTGAGGTGATCTTCAATATAGTTTCCTTTTTTACGTTTTCTGACATTTTCCTTTAGCTCAGGTGGTAGAAATTCCAGGAGGCCATACCATGCAATGTACACACCTTAAAATCTCCATAATATAAACACCTAGGTTTTATACTAGTTTTATACTTCGGTTTCCTAAACCAAGGTGTAAAGGTGACATTTTGACCTAAATCTCTTTGATTTTCCTCAGCCACAAGAGGGCTATCTGATGGTGCAGCAATTCCAGTATTTGGGATGGGCTTCTCATAGAGATGTACCAGCTTCCAAGAGATCCTTCTTGAAGTTGATTCTCCAGGTAGAAAAATGGCAAGAGGAATGTGAAGAAGGGGAGGGCCGGACCATCATCCATTGCCTGTGAGTAACTTGGAGAAAGTCAACTGCTGCTCTTCAAATAAATTCTTATAAATTAATTCTTGGTTTGAATTTAAGCAGTGTTCTTATGGATACCTTCTTTTGCACCTGCACCTGTTACTTTTCTAATTAAAAAAAAAAAAAGAAGTATCACTGCAGGCTTTTGTTCAACTTTTGGATTTTTCTGTGTCAGGTCAAGGAATGAGTATTTTGAGTGTGATACTACAGTGATACTGTGTATACTGTCACCTGTGCATAATAACATGATTTTCAGGTGCAAGACACGTACAGATCTGTTTCTTCTGCCTGGTTTTTGTAAGGAAGTCTTTGATAGGTGCCAGATAGGGGGATTTTGTGTCTGTTTTGCACAGAGTGTGCTACATTTTTTCTCAAAAGGAAAACCTACAGTATTTTGAGGGATTTAAACTGAAAACTATGGATATATGAAATCTGAAAAAAAGCTCTATTACAGCACACCATACTAAAACTATTGTTGGTAAATGGCTTCTGGCTGCTTACCTGATACTTAAATGGGACCTAGTTTGGGAGTTTTGAAAAGATGGTGTCTTCTTCTCCCTAAGCAGAGTAATCAATCTGTCTCCTTACTCTGAAGAAAAGACCTCTGTTTAAATGTTCAGATTTAACTAGTGACCTGTTTCTGCCTACACCACTTCAAAATTAATAAGAAGAAATTCCTACCTTAATTTCTTTGAAATTAGATTAAAATAGTTCAGAAGTGTCCCCAAAGGTCAACAAGTTATTAAATCAGTGATGCCTTAGCATATCTGGTTGAATAATCCTCATTTCATAAGTTGAGTGTCTTTCCAGAAGTAAGTGGTAAATGTACTCGGCATTGAACTTGTTTTTGTTATTTCTAATGTCCTACTTGCCATTGAACTTAGGTTTAGGGTTTTTTTTAATTATTTCTAATGCATATGTAATTTAGACTTAAAGGATAGTTGGGCAGCATGATGGGCTGTAAGGGCAGAATTCAAAAGCAGTAATTGAGAGGAAGGTCAGAAAAAGTAAATGTCTTAGACCAAACCCACTGGAGCTGCAAAGAGATTGCTAAAGTCCGGTCTCCCTCTGGGACTCACAAATTACTCCTGCTTACAGAGGGAAAGAACTGAAATGAATGCTATTTTGAAAGAACTGAAATGGATGTTTTGGATGCTGTCCTAGTCCACAGTGGCACTTAACTCTCCTCCTTGTGTACAGAAACGGCGGTGGCCGGAGCGGGATGTTCTGTGCCATCGGCATCGTGGTTGAGATGGTGAAAAGGCAGAATGTGGTGGATGTTTTCCATGCCGTGAAGACCTTGAGGAACAGCAAGCCCAACATGGTAGAAACTCCGGTAAGCACCAGCCCCGCAGGGTTCCTGCAAACAGCCAGGGAGCCAGAGGCTGTCTCGTTGCATGAGTTGTGTTTTCAGTCCTGTGCCCACAAAAACAGTGTAAACCTACTGCAGGCCAGAAGAAGAAAGGACAGCTATTGTGTGTAAATGCAAGTCAGCATCATGAGAGGACAGGCTTGGTATTTTACACTACCTTTCTTGTCGTGGTTGCATGCTTTCCACAGAAAGCATTCTGAGTTAACAGAATGCACTTTAATCTCCCAAAATAACCCAGTCTGTTTGAAAGGAAGTTGCAGCAGGCTGCATTCACACAAGCTACCTTGAAATTTTAGAGAGCAAGACATTTCTCCTTGGTAGCATTAAGCTGCGAAGTACAGATTCCTAGCTGGAGCGTGAATATTTTGCTCCTTAGTAAAAACTGCTGCTTTGAAAGTTGTATTGAATACTGACAGTCTTTGTTGCTCAGATATGTAGTAGGCAAAATAATACCTCCGAACTTTGAAATCAAACATTTGGATCTAGTATGTTGCAAATGAATATATAAAATCATTTTGGTTGGAAGAGACCCTTAAGATCATTGAATCCAACAGTTAAACAATAAACAATATAAACAATAGACTAATACAAACAATATGAGCCTGAATTAGCAAAACTAGATAACCATATATACATTGCCAGAACTCAAAATAACTTTGAATCTTCTGGTTAATATTTATGCACGCAGTATTATAACCATTAACCTATCCATTTGAATGTTTGCCTCTCCAACAAAAACTGAACATTAAGGACTGGAAGGTCCTTAAAAACTTCTTCCACATGGATGTTTTTCCTTTTTGTAGGTGAATGAAAGCAGGTTATATAGTGTTTGGGAGTTCCTGCCATTTGAGTCTTACACTGCCAGCTGCCAGTGTCACTTTTCAGCCAGATGGCTGCCTACAGCATAAAAATCAGGAATGCCAATTGAAATTAAAAACATGTTTTAGTTAACACATAGTGGAAATTGCTTCTGACCCTGTGAACTTGCATATTGTGCAAAATGGCTGTATCTGCCTCTTCCTAAATTCCCCTTTTTCAGGTGTCAGTGTTTGCTTAATATCAAATAGCTTCTGTGACATGATTCTCTTAATCATAGTGCATCACTTCCATACCTTGCCAGCACATAAATTAAGAAGATGGTTAATATGTTAACAAATAGAACACCCTGTGGCAGCAGAGACACTGGGCTAGGTATTGCTGCTTTTGCTGCACATGCTTTGCATTCTCCTGTGCCATAGACATCTGAGACACAACATATTGAATTGCTGCCTGAGTTTCAGTTCACTGCTGTCAAGAAAACAGGTCAGATCACATGGAAATTTTTTTGTGTCTCTGTAAAGGGAGGCCAAGGTAAATTGTGTTTGTTTTTGATAAATGCTCCGCAAACTTATATTGCATTTCAAAATAGTCCTGAATTCCACTGCAGCTTTACAGTGAAGTTGCTATATTTTTTTTAGTTATGTGTTTGTACTGTATGGATTTTATTCAGAACTCTTGAACAGCAGAAGCTGTTGTTAGTTAGAAAACAAACCAGGAAAACCACTATATAGCAGCGTCATGTGCCCTACATTCACCAACAGGATCAGATAACAATGAGCAGTGCAATAAAGCCTTTAAGATATCTCCACAACTTCCTGTTAATGCATCACACTGTCTTCCCGTGCAAACAAAAATAAATCACAAGGGCAGATTTCATTTTTCAAGTCCTAAGGACAATAGACATCAAATTAATTTCCTTGGTTTTATTTCTTCCTCCTCTTCCCCTCTCCTCTCTCCTTCCTCATCTCTGTCTCCCAGTATCAGCTCTCAACAGCAGAACTGTTGAGGAGAAATAATAACCACAATGAGATTTTTGAATTACTTTTTAAATGTTCAATCTGATCTTTTGGATGCGACATCAATGGGACTGTACCAATGGGCTCTGGACACAGAGCTGCTCGGGGTCCCTGACCAGTTGCTGCTCAATATCAGCTAACTCAAATAGAAGTGGTGTATCAGAGTCAAGGTGCTTTCACTGCAAGAATGCTCTGACTGAGAGGAGAGCTTTTCATGTTTGATAAACCAGTTCAGAGGCTGAAAAAATCAGAGAAGCACATCATTACTTTCCATGGTCAGGAAATTCCTTTTCCCCTTCATTGGTTAGGGTGAGTTTTTAAATCAGAGCTGGTAATATACTTGTGTAATAGGGGGGAAAAATAGAAAATCCAAGGCTGTCTGGTTTACTAGTTAGCAAAGAATGTTCTTGGTTATAGATCTTGCTGCTAAGATTTTAGATTTTAATGCAACTTCTGTTTCTGTTCCCCCTTAAAGGAGCAATATCGTTTCTGCTACGATGTTGCACTGGAGTACCTGGAATCCTCTTAGTCGGAAAGGATGTGACAAAGTTCACCAAATATATGAATCTCAATAAGCTGTTTTGACAACAGTTCTTGATCCTGTGAAGAAAGATTTTAGGGGAAGAGGGGGGTGGGAGGGATTTTAAATTTTAAATGCAAAGTATTTTTCTTATGAAGTTGTGTATCTTAATAAAAGAACTCAATCTGTTTCTATGCTTGTATACAGTATCAACATTTAGTGCCACATAAATACTATTTAATGAAAAGCAGAGTCAGAAGAGATTTGCTCAGATTAGGACCTTCTTGTGTGTGTATATGCAGCCGTCTCTCAGATACAGTAGAGCGACCATCTGTTGCATGTATCAATATTTCCTATATGGTATTAATTTTTTCTTTTTGATACATTGTTAAAGTACAATAACAGTGCAGATTGATAGTAAGGTTCATTCTTTATACGTTTCAAGTGTTGCATATATATATTATATATAGTAAAAGAAAAACTGGCTTATTTTGTTTTAATGTGCAATGATGGCTGGATCACATAAAGATCTTTATAAAGAAACTTAAACATAAGCCAAAGACTCAAGTGTAAATATGTCTATATGGAGAAAGCACATGTATTTATTGTTTACTTGCATTCCTTTTTTGATGGCTGAAAAAAAGAAGAATCATTTTTCTTGAAGAAAGCTTTTTTTGCTGAAATCAAGTGTAAACAATTTTTGTAGTTTATTTTTTGTATGTTTTAGTGTAAGTAGAAGACATACTTTTTATGCATAGACCAAGAAACATTGGTATAGTGGTTTTGTTGTGTACATGCTTGTGGTTCAAATTCATGTAAACAACTTGATTATAGAAGGTCTTTAAGTACAGGACCAAAATATAAACATTTTCCTGAAAATGTATAGTTTTTCACAGTTGCATTAGTTAAGGACCGATAAAAAAATATGTAAGAAAGTGCACACTTTAAAATGGCCTTGCCTATGACTTGCACAATATTGGAAGAAATTTTTAAGATCCATTAAAAATTGTACAGGAACCAATTGTTTTAAAAATATTGAAGCACAGATCAACAGGAGAACTGTGACACAAATAGATGGGTCTGCATATACCCTTCAGGGTAAAAAAAGTATTTGTTTAGGAAATTGTAAAATTAAGCAATGTTTAATTTGATGTTTACAAACATGTAAGCTTTGCTTCCAAGAAAGCAAAATTCTAATAAACCAATGCCAGATTCTGATTATAGTTGTGGTGTACAAAATATTACTTTGCTTTTACTTAGCTTGCATCCATTTCTTCACAAAGTTTTCTCAATGTTACCAGCTAAAGTCATTCCAGTCTCTTCTTGGTCACTTTTAGAACAGACAGTAAAATGCTATGGTGCTTTTAAATATTCTGTAAAGTAAGAATGAACTAGATTTTTATTTAAAGATTTTATTTTTTTTTCCTACTTTGATATCTTCTCATTTACTGTCCTCTTTAATGAGTTGTTCTTGTCTGAAAGCCCAATATATTTGGATAAGGAAAAATCTCAAAAGGAAATTGTATTATTTTTCACCCTGGTGCTTCAGGAAGTATGTCATAAGACTACATGTCTTCTGTATGTCCTAAATTTCATCCTTCAGATACATGGAAATACCCATTCAACACTATAAACAGCAGAGAAATGTTTAGAGAAACACTGCTTCTCAGATTTTTTTAGTGCTTCCATCTGTACTGCATAGCTCCACCTCTTTCAAATCTAAACCACTTTTTTTGTTTAGGTTTGGGGGGTTTTGGGAGGTTTTTAGGGGGTTTTTTGTTTTTTGTTTTTTTTTCTTGTGACACCCACTGTTGATTCCTAGTTATGAACGGCAAGGTAAATAAATAAGGTTTGAAACATTTACTGAGTCTGGCTTCTTAATACTCAAATCACCCTATTTTTTCTTCTGCTATACTGGAAAGTAGAGTATAAGTTACATGCTTTGCAACATTCTTCGCTTTCCCTGTGAGGAAATGGCAATCACCTGACTTTGGCAGTCAAAGTGCTGGGGCTGTTACCTCAAGCTGACTGTCTGGTCACCACATTTTGTGGAAACAACATGCCTGATGCATCCTGCCTGTTAGACATCTGTCTGGCACTAAATGATTTTGACTGTGGAAAAATCCTCCCCTGTTGTCTGAGAGATGTTGAGAAGACTAGTCTAGAAGTCTAGATTAATTTTGTGACAGGAGAGATGACTAGCTCTCGGGGTTGTAGAAGGCAAAAACCACATTCTGTACTGCCCAGAATGATATTTATGTTTTGGGTGGAGTTTTTCTCATGCAGAGCTGCTTGTGTTTGGGACATTGGGGTCCATCCCCATCAGAATTTCATTATCCTGGTTAAGACCTTTGAGTCCAGTTTCCCCTGGACATTAAGCATGACTAGTACAAATGCCAGTGTTAATCCTGGCATTGCAGCATACTAAGCCTGCACAAGACTCCTCCTTGGGAGCATCCCCCTTGGCTAGAAGAGATTATAGCTGCCACTGGTCATTCTGCAGAGAGGAGCTCTGCCAGTGTTCAAGTACTCTGAGTCTCATAATTTCTGTAACTCTTGTTCAAGACTGTGGTGATCTAAAGAGCTTTTGCAATAGCTCATGATTGAAAAATTTCTGGGAAGTTCTTCCTGGCAAGGTCAGGGAAAAGTATGAAGAGGGAATGTGGTATGTGAGAAGCAGATGACAAATATCACTCTCAAGTAACGGTATCTTTTGAGGGTCTCTTAGGCAAAAGATAATATTAGAATGTGATTTTCAGTATAAAGTCAGAAGAGACACATTGTTTTATTGTGCAGCTGTTTCCCTTGTCTCACCCAGTGTAAGCAAATGCCAGCTTTGTTTTTGAGGGTACCAGCTCTGTTACTCCAGATAAATGCTGCTCCGGTATCCTTTACTTTCACCCATACAAGGCAGAAGAAAGGAAAATGAGGGGATTGAAACCTGACCCAGACAGAAAACAAGTATTTATCACAAAAAGAGCATGCTGTGGATGAATAGAAGTATTCCTGACCTTGGACACTCAAAGAGGGAAATGTTTCACTCCCTGAGGTGGTGAAAAGCCACTGGCACCAGTATCACAATGTGCCAGCAGCTCCTAACCTGGAGTAGTCTCTAGGGTTCAAGACTGCTCAAAATCTTTCTGCTTTCTATCATCCTTGCTGAGATACTAGCACAGGCTCGTTCAAGTGGCTAAGGCCTGCAGAGTGCATTGTCTCTGCCTTCCTCAGCAGCATGAAGCAAAGGCTGGACTCACACATGTGGTAAGTACAGAGAGCAAATGGGCATCAAGGTAGAGTACAAAGAAGCACAAAAGGCTACATCCATGGAGGTGTATGTGAGATAGTTCAAATTTGAAGTTAATGAAGTTGAAACTGGTTTAATACCACATAGTGAAAGTAACCAAAAGAATGTACAAGTTCCCAAAAACATGGTTGCTATGTGCAAGAGGTTTTTCTTTGCTCTAAAACTGAGAAGTGATGACCCCAGTGTCTTGCTCTGTGTAGTTAATGGAAGGAATTCTGTGAGTCACTTGGATGGCTTTGGTTCATTTTCTATAGGCCAGTAATCAAAGAGGTAATTGTTGAAATAATCTGAATTTCCCAGAAAAACCAGATGCTAGGATCCAACACTGAAGAACCATAAAAGGCATAAAACATCTTGAAAGTGATTAAGGCAGTGTCATTGAGATGGAATAGCTACTATACCTCAGCACCCTCTATAGTAAGAGGCTTTCTTTCTTTTTTTCTTTTAGCTTTCTGAATCTGCCTTCCCTGTTCATAGTGACCTAACTCCAGCAGAAGGAAGTGTGAGAAGACTCAGATTTTGACCTTTTATCTGGGTCCTGAGAGATCAGACCCAGCTGGTCGATGAGATCTTAGTATTTACATTTCCCGCTTCCTGGGTAAATGATGCCATTGGGAAACAACTTGGAAAGAGGCCTTACCTTCCTGGAAAACAGTCACTGGCATAGGGGTTTGAAGCCTGAAGCTTTATCTCTTCAGCACATCCAAGCAGTTACTGGGATTTATTTCATTTGGGAAGTTGCTCAGTTAATATATTTACTTAGTTTATGCTATGTCCTACATACTACATTAAGAAATAGAATATTCCTTCAAGAAACATGAAAGCCAAAGCTACTGCAGGAGTGTGCTCTTTCAAACTGATTAACAATTTCCAAAATCAAAGGTCTAAAAAAAGCAGACTGGGGAAGTAATGGTAGGCAAGTACTTTGTCATTGAGCCTCAAGTGTGAATTGAAGTACAAGGAAGGGACAGCCTGAGAAAAAACGTTGCAGAATCATTGCATGGCCAGGCCACCTGGACTGACAAAAAACTGTATAAAGGGCCTCTTTTAAACTTCACTCTGCTGCAGTGTCAGAAGAAACCCTGAGATCTTGAAATAAATGTAAAAGCTGCTTTTATAGTGCTCTGCTCTGTACTGAAAAGAAAAGTAACTCATTTTCTGCTGTACTTTCCTGTGTCACATAGAGGTCTGAATTGAGTAAAGCGATCCTAATCTCACAAAAGAACCTTTGTGGTGATTTATTGCTACTGGTCTTTGTTAAACAGTCAAAGATCTTGTAACCTCTGCAAATCCAGGATAGTCAAGGGTATCTGTGAATATTCACCTATGTCATTACTTTCTAGGGTTGAATAATCTGCTGGCATCAGATAGTGGTTGCTGAGGATGAGACTTTCAGAACATGCAGAGGTTTAGTCCCATAAATTTTCCTTCAACTTTATGCAGAAAAACCTATGGTAATTTTTTACCTGGGGGCTCTGTTTGTTTACCTCTTTGTTTCAGCAAACATCGAGATACTGAGAATAGAGAAGTGTTTCTAAATTATTTTAAGCTTCCCGGATGATTTTCCTTTAAGACTGACTAAAAGTATGATGTGAGATTGTGGTGGTGGTTGACAAGCATAAATGTTATTTTGGCCCACGCTTCTCAGAAATTAATTCTTTCCCTGCTGTTGGGTTTAGAGTCCTAATTTATGCAGAGATTGACATGTATGATGACAGGCACAATAGGATGCTTACCTAATAATAATGTTTATTAGCTGTGTCTTGGCCAACAAAGAACAGATGTTTTT